GCTGTCATCCGTACGCAAGGAAGTAAGCACAAGATGCCGAACACCCTTAGCAGGATGCAGCGCACCCTTCATGCGACTCGCCGAATATCTCACGGCGCTTCGCGCTTGGTGATGTGAGAGCCTAGTCCGGTGAGAACCCGGCGTGCTCTGTCCCGGCTTTGTAGGGATGCGAGGTCAATGGTCTAGCGACTACGGCATGCACGACTATGAGTACACCCCCCACCCCTCCGTCCCCCCGTCCCCCCTTCCCCCACACAGGCTGTCCGCCAGTACGTACCCCATCGTTCCCCCCTTCACCACCAACGAGGAAATGGCGGCCCCCCCCGGGATGTCCATCACCTCCGCCGAGCTCGCGCTGGCCTTCTCCGGTCTCCCGGAGGACGACATGCACTCCGCCGCCGCCGCCGCGCACGCGGCGCACGCCGCGGCCGCCGCAGCCGCCGCAGCCGCCGCAGTCGGCGCCCCGGGCTTCTCGCCCCCGCTCCCCGCCCTGCCTGGCATCGGAACGGAGCACCTCGGGCGAGCCGCTGCGCTGCCTGCGGCGGCTGCGCCGGCAGCCGGAACCCCGGACTCCGGCCCGGCGAAGAAGAGGCGCCGCGGATCGGACGGCAGCGCCACCCCTACCTCCGGCCCCGGCGTGGACGCGTACGAAGCTTCGTCGGTAGCGGCTGCGATGGCGGCGGCGGCATCGGCGGCGGCTGCTGCGGCTCCGGCCTCGACCGTGCAGTTCGCGGACCAGGCCGCCTACCACGCGGCGCTGAGCTCCGAGATGATGGCGGGCTTGATGCCCTCGATGATGCAACCGATCGGTGAGCTGCCGCCTCCACCGCCGCAGCCAGCGGCGGCACCTCAAGACGATGGGGCGGCGGCGCAGCCGCCGCCGCCGCTGTCTTCGGCTGACGCTCTGGTGCACGGGTTCGTGCCGGTGCCCATGGTGTCGACGGCGCCGGCGCCGATGGACACCTCCGGGCCGCCACCGCCGATGATGTCCGCGGGACCCCCCCCTGCCGCTTCTGCTTCTCCCCCCGCGGGTGCGGAGGCCATGCTTTCTTCGCCCGAGGCCTTCGTGATGGCGGGCGCGGTCGTGCCGGCGATCGGGAGCAAGTGCGCTGTCGCGGATTGCGCGGCACCGGTGAGTTTTTTTTGTTTTTTGACACAACGAATCCGTCTCTATCCACAGATAATGAGATGCCAGGATGAGCTAGCAATAAGTGTTTCGTTTTTTGCTGGGAGGAGAACTGGTCGTGCGTGTGTGTGTGTGTGTGTGTTTTTTTTCAGTAGCGTCGACCGAAATAACCGGCTGACCAATGAAAAGACGTCAGTCTTGTTGTCGCGGTCTAAAATATCGTGTGTGTGAGGTTTTGGACTTACGCAGAGGTTGGGGTTTTGTCTCCTGTTCTTTCTCGAGTGTTGGTGCGGGCCCAGGCAGGTAAACGCCCGATTTACAACCAGAGAAAGGGTTTTTGCGCCTCGACCTGCATCCACGGCTCGCACCATTTTTGAAATTCCGACGCCTGCTGTGGACGAGAGGTGGTCGTGCAGTGCGTTCGGTTATGCGGTTAAGGCCGTCCTACTCTAGTTTTTTGCTCGGTGGTGTGACCGCGACGTGTCATCCCAAAAACGTGATGTGGTCATTTTGACCATGTTTAGGTCATTCGGACCGGACCGTCGTGACGTCGCATCCCAAACGAGTGCTTTTTGTCAATTTGGAGCTCCGCGACGCCGTCCGGAACGCGTGATTTTTTTCTCTAGTATCTTCGCGACGCCACATCCCAAACGAGCACCGTGTTATAATGGAGCGTCGTTGGCCTCGTCAAATATTGTGTTCTTCGTCCTCATGCACTTGTCTCTTTTCCCTTCAATTTTCCCGTCCCCCCACCCAACTATATTATCTCCCGGCTCCTGCCTGCGGGGGGGGGTTCCGCAAAATGAACAGGCTACTTTCGGGCACCCTGGACCAGGCCACGTCCCGACGCATTGCTTGACCCATTGCGAGGAGGGCATGCACAGGCTAGCGGCCGACGCGGACAGAGTTGCTCCCCTCCCGCTGGTTGCGCCGCCCGAAAACGTGAGTAAGCAGAGTCAACACCCGAGCACAGGGTGGTCGTGTGCATGTGTGTCTTTATTGTTGGCATCGGCCTCGCTACCCGGCTGGCCAATGAAAAGACGTCGATCTCAGTACGGTGGAGGCAGAGAATACCTCCAAAGGTCATAGTGTTTGTGTTTGTTTTCGCCCCGTCTATTTCGGCGGGAGTTCATGTGTTCGTTGTCTTTGTGACGTGTCAGCCGGGGCAACGCAGGAAGATGATGCACGACCATTTTTTTTTTTTTTCATGTCGTGTATGGGTTCAGTGTGGAATTCCATGCAATCCAAGTTCTTCCACCGGGACCTGATGAACATCGAATATGGAGGGCTACTGTCGAGAGCCCGTGCTTGGGATGTGTGTGACGTCGACTTTTCATGGCTCTTGATGTGGTACCCATGATGTCTAGGCTTATGTCAGGCCGCGCCTGTTATGCTAGCCGAGACACATCCGCATATGTGGGAACAGCCACTGTTTGTTTCCCATTCAGGAGCTTGTTGCCCACCTCTTACATGCTGTCAGGAGGAACAGTCGCACAGTTTATCGACATGTTAGTTACATTAGTTTTTTCGTTGTAGACTCTCTTCTTTCCCTTCCGGGCAGGCGTTTTATCCCTTACCTTACCTACTCTTTGTCATCTCGTTCGAACACAGTTCGTTTGTCTGCCGCAGGGCACGGGCAGGCGTTTTCCGCTTTTTCATGCCTACCCTTACCTGTGCTCCTTGTCGCCTTGTTTGAACATGGTTCGATGGTCTACTGCAGGGCACAAGCAGCGTCCCCGCCGCTGGGCCAGTAGAGGCAGCAGCAGCAGCAGCAGCAGCAGCAGCGGAGGCGGAGGCGGCGGTGGCGGTGGCGGCAGCAGCGGCAGAGGCTGCAGAGGCTGCAGAGGCTGCAGAGGCTGCGGCGGCGGCTGCGACGGCTCCCGTGGCGTCGCTTGAGGCTGCTGCCACCGCCGAGCCCCCACCTGTTCCGATGAAGGTGGAAGAGACGGGGAAGGTCAAGAAGAACAAGAAGAAGGCGCGTCGTTGTTGTTCTTGTTGTGCTGTCCGTCACTGTCGTTGGGCTTTTGTGCCCCGCCCGATCGTAATAGATATAGTGTCGCGAGCTCTTTTTTGCCCCAAGCCAAGCCGCAGAATTCTCTTGTTTTTACGTCCCCTATTTGAACCACCCGAGGGCTCACCCGGTTTGTGCGCGGCAAGGCGACCCTGCCGCAGGCGTGTCAGCGGCGCACGACGTGAAGGAAAACCAAGTAGGGAGTGGTGTGCTGTCTGGTGAACTGTCCTTGCTGGCGGCACGTGTAGAGGGAAGATTTTGCCAGTCGTTCTGCCGTCGTTTCACGGCTGTCGTTCCAGCCAGCTCTACATAGGTCTTTTCTAGGGGGCTGTCGCGTTCAACCTGACCCGTATCGTCGTCACACACCCGCGTTCCCTCCCGTACCCTTGTCATGCCGACCCACCCACCGGCAATTTGAAGTTTTGGTTTTGCGGCTGGCAAGGAAAATGCCCTCTCTGCGTGCGTGTGTCTGTCTGTCTGTCTGTTTGTGTGTTCATGTTTGATCAGCCTGTCTGTCTGTCTGTCTGTCTGTCTGTCTGTGTGTCTCTCTATCATTCTGTCTGTCTCTCTATGTGTCTATCCCTCTATCTCCCTATCTCTCTATCTCTCTATCTCCCTCCATCTGTCTGACGCTCAAGTATTTCCACCAAGGCGTACAACGCTTACTCCGGAGATATTTTTTGCATGTATATATTTCGCTGGCATCTCTTACCCCTCCTCGCTTTCCCTCCTCCTTTTCAGGGAACAGCAGCCGCCGGCGAGGGCATCATGCTCTTGGCAGGCGCGGTCGCCAGCCACACCGACCACAATGACGACGATGACGACGACGACGACGAAGAGGAAGAGGAAGCGGAGGAGGAACAGGCTCCACCCGATGCCGCCGCCTCCACTGCCGCCGCAGCTGCAGCCGCAGCCGCAACCGCGACAGCAGCACCACAACCAACAGCACCAGAACCAGCAGCGGCTCCCGCCCCCCCGGCGGTGCCCGCCTCGTGAGGGTCTCCCCTGACAGCCTTGTGTGCGGTATGGTACACGAGTCGTTCCGGGGATGTGCGGGATTGGCGCAAAGAGTGCTGCTCTTCGAGGGCGGACTGGCCGACCGAGGTATCGACGTTTTGTGTCGGTACGGTGGCGGCGGCGGCGGCGGTGGCGGCGGCGTGGTTGCCTCGCCGAAGCGTTGTACCGCGGGGGCAGGACGGGGACAGGCTAATGGAGTCAGCTGGACAGCCCGCCCCGCCTCCGGTTGTGTAAGCTCTCAGCAAGGAAGTTGTCGGCGGTGGTTATATCACACTGGGAGTGAGAGGTGATTGGCGTCCATCACCGCCGCCTGGGTGGCGATGAGCGCTTTGACTTGTTTCTCTTTCACGTGTTGTTACGCGGTCGTCTCGTGTTGTTGTTTTTTCATGCATCGTCTGGACGTCTTTCCCCACGAGTTTGTGGTGGAAACAACGCTGGCGACGCTCGCCCGGACGTGTTGCGCTTGGCCCGTGCATAGCACGTATGATGGGAGGCATTCACGTCCGGCGGGGGGTTGGAGTGAGAATCAGCACACACGTGCTGTGTGACATCATTCATGATGCCTTTTGTCCCCAAGCATAGGACACGGGGCTCGGCTGTTACCAGTTCGCGAAGGCTAGTCCAGATGTTCCCTGTATGTAGCTTGCTGTGTGATAGCGTTAGCTATGCGGGTGTGTCAAGGGGAACGTGTGGGTGGCGGCCCCGTGCATCAATTGTAAATCTGGGAGTAACGCACGTACATCATAATCTCAGCAAATAGTCGAGGACGCCGCGAATGTTTTTCTTTTGTTCTTGTTGGGGGGTCAACCGACCGTTTCACCGGAAGGCCACCCTAACACCGAGGCTTGGTCTTCTGGATGAAAGATTGGTCCCGCGGGTCATTAGTTGCTTTTATTGAGGTCCTTCCGAATGGTCAAGATTTTGAGTCCCGAGGGCCTGCTGTGCTCCGTGTTTTAGTGGTCGTCGAACCTGATCAACTGCAGCAGGAACCGGTTGTTAGGTTGGGGGTGACCTATTTTTGGAAACGAGCAGCAGCATTCACGCAGCAGCCGGACGGGGCTTCATTATAATAATCTGGAACGCTCCGCGGAACCAGCCACTTGTATGCCTGAAGAATGAACGCAGACAGACACCTTCTCCTGCGGGAGTTTTTTTTTTGTGGAGGGCGGGTGGTTACAGGAGGCGTTGCGTAGATTATGTTTTGAGACCGGGGTGTCCGTGTTCCGATCATGTTGAGACTGGAGTCGTCCATGTTCCGATTATGTTGAGACTCACAAGGGGCCGTTCATGTTCTGATCCTGTTGAGACTGGGACCGTCCATTTTCCGATTTCGTTGAGACTGGGGCCATCCATTTTCCGATTCTGTTGATAACTTGTGGCTGGCCCGTTCCGTTTGTTAACATGCGAGAGTACGAGCGGTACTTCGAAAGACTCAATTCGGAAGAGTAGGAGGGAGGGGCGCCTCACGCACGGACGGAGGGAGTAGGTTGGGTGATATCGCTGCTTGGGTGTTATGTCAGAGGAACGCGTCAATTTCACATGAGGGGCGGTGGCGTCTTGTTGACCCCCGTGCTATGTATCCTCTTGGCCTGAACCACTGTTTTCCGACGTGCCCCTTCCTGCCGATGCATGCGTGCGGGGTTCATGAGAGGTGGGTGCTGTCGCGGTGCTTTGTTGGCTCGTCCACATACATACATATCAAGTTGTAGTTTTTCTCTTGGAGAAACTCGGAGTTTCTTCAAGTGGTAACTTCACAAGTTTTTGTTCAGCTCACTGCTTGCGAAGCATGTGCGCGTCTTGTGGTTTGGTGGTTGGCTGCGACGTTGATTTCAGTCCCTGCTAAAAAGGCCTCGAATTGATCGTTTAGCAGTTTGCAGATTCATTCGTTCATCATAGCAGTTTGCAGATTCATTCGTTCATCATATCCTTGGCGGTGTTTGTGCCGTTTGAACTTCTCGATAAGTGTGTAGACAACAACCCTTTTGGGTAGTAGTTGGCCTGTGACCACGGAAGGAAGGCGTCCGCGTCAGTTGGACCAGTACGGATACGAAGGGACTGAGCAGAGGCCAGAACTTTTTTTTATGTAAAGACAACATCAACAATAGCAACCGCGGTGGGATTATTTCGTCCCTCGTGTGTGATATCTTGTGTGTATCACGGACCCCGGAAGTCTTTTTTTACTTTTTTTTCGTTCATCACTTCATATGAGCGCTCACGCACGCAGCATTGCATTTCTGTCGTGCAGGATCCACGGTCGGTCACACAAACGGTTCCTCCCCCTGAGGCCCCCTACCCACAACGAGGGCTATTTTTTTCTCATCTAGGTCACGAAGTAAGGCTGCATGCCTTACCTGCTTTGCCTCACGATTTACACAGCAACCAGCCGTTGGTGCGTCACACACCCCGAACAAGCCTAAGCAATACATACAACAACTTCAGCACGACTTACTTGCTGTAGCCCGGACCGGACTACCTGGTACACAACCTATGTAACGGCCATTTGTGGCCCTCTAGAGAAAAACCCAGCCTCGGTCATCACTATTGAATAGAGGTTCTCAGTGCGGGCGCACACTATAACTCTCCATATCAGTTGGGAAAGTCCGTTCAATGGAATGGCTAGACCAGGCGTTCCCTCATCTTGTAACCAACTAAAATTGAATGGAAAAAAGTAACGGAACGTCATGAAAAAAAACGGGGAAGGGAACTTGGCTCGCGGAATACCGCCGCACGAATGAGCAGCTGACAAACGGCAAGCGGCGGTGTTTCGGTGAATCGTCGTTGTGGGGCATGCGGGGGCCATTTTCGAAGGCAGTTCATCTTCACCGTGGTGCCTCCGAAGCCCCGTGTGTCTCCATTGCTTGGTACTGCTGTTTGCGATGGAGTCGCCGACAAATAACCAACAAACAGCAGTAGACTACATTTGATAAAATATTCGTTCTCTTCCGTATCATCTACTACCATGGCTGAACGAACTGAAGAATCAACCAGCTTCCAAGGGCCCCTCGAGTGACGTTGCCAACCGCTGGGTCCTTCGACCGATGCAACCAACCGGAAGCATTGTGTGCTCTGTACCACTCTCCCCCCCCACACACACATATAGGCTTGCCAGGTCCACAAAAAATGGTACCTTTACTCCCGGGCAGAGGACGTGGGTGCTTGATTGAGTAATCGGAACGGAAATTAATCCTTCCACGCAAAACGAACATTTCTCGTCCAGATCAGCCTAGACTGTAGACTAGACTATATGGTCATATTGTGGTGTATCTATGGCCATATGGTTCATCATGGCTCGTCGAACCGGCCCAGCTGACCCCCCTCCTCGTCCAATCTGGGTCGTCGATGGTCACGATGGGTTTGGTATTGTTGTGGTTTTCATGTCGACTCCCCCCACCTGCCAACACCGAGGAGTTCGGTAAATCCATCGTCGAAGTAGCTTCTGTCCATCAAATAATCCCCCACTTTTTGACCTACCCATTACAGCAGTTCTGAAAGGAAGCGAACAAGATTAAATCAATCTTAATGCAGGAATCTCAAGGCGGACAAAATTATCAGCGGCGTGCTTCCTATCTCTCGTAGTGTAGTGGTTATCACACCAGCCTTTGAAGCTGGTACCCCGAGTTCGAATCTCGGCGAGAGATTTTTCACATCTTCCTTCTTTTTTTCGCTCGGTCACGCAGGAACAGAGAGAGGCTGAGTGATTGCGTCGGCAACCTTGCAACCTTCTGACGTTACGTGGTTAATAGTGCTGTCACATGGACCGGGATTTAGCTTTACAGAATAATGTGGAAAGTGTTATTACTTTCGTTCGTACCCCAAAATTCGACTTCACGGCCGACGAGGGAACGGAACATCTGAATCCTTCTCGCAATAAAAAACACCGCGAGCACCGCACATGGAAGCAGGAAAATACCCCTCCTGTGTGGCTTTCCATCTGTGCGACCCCATCGGGTGGCGTGTCAATAATTGTACCGGAAGGGGTAAGCCGACGTGCAGAATAAACAGAGTGAACAAAAAAAATCTCCCCGGTTGCGGATGTCGAGTCCGCATGCATGAATGCCCCTTTGGGGTCGAGTGCTACAAGAAAAGCAAGCACGGTGTTCTTCAGAATGTACCTCCAACAATCGAGTTTCAAAACGCCTAGCCGCGCTGAGTGGCGATAGAAACGGGTAGAGGGTGCCGTTTGTACGCGGCGATTGGGAATCATGACGTTCTCCACAGCGCATACTCTCGAAATACGGCGTGCTTGAACCCATACCAACCGAGCCTTTCTCGGAGAAGGACAGCATCTCTGCACGCGAATAGATTGACCGAAGCATGTGGGAAGGGCGGGACGACGACGGAGATGTGGTACTCCCAAGCTTGCTCGACAGCTGCGGTGGTAGCCTCGAGAGCATTGACTTCTTCCCCCGGAGTAGTACCGACCGGCCCGTCAAGAGACTTTTCGACCCCACGGTATTTGCTTTCACCTTCGCCGCCAAAGTGCATGACTGCGACCGATGTCGACGTCACCCTCGACCGGGCCTCAGGGGCTGGAAGAACAGGAGCGACGCCGGAGGTAGCCGGAGGAGGTTGAGGAGGATGATCGCCATGGCGAAGAGCACGGGGAACGCCGGAGGCGACCAGTCGGGCTTCGCGCCACCACCTCCCAGTGGAAAGAGGAGGGGCAGCTTCGACGAATTTCGAAAGACAACTCTGCGCTGAGGGAGCAGGACCTATTCGCCCTCCTTGCCATGAGGGAGCGCCGAGAGTTCACTGTTACACCAGAGAGCCTTCCTCAACTCGGAGGGGGGTAGCGTCTCTTCACGACACTTGATCAACCCATAACATACCGGCCACCTCGACAGGCATGCTGTGGTGGATCTATTTGCGTGAAGAGACGCTATCCCCCCTCCGAGTTGAGGAAGGGCTCTCTAGTGCAACAGCGGGCTCTCGGCGCTCTCCCACGGCGAGGAAGGCGAACGACTCCTGCTCCCTAAATACAGATTGTCCGGCGACACGCGGCGAAGCTGCCCCTCCTCCCCCGGACGGGAGGTGGCTCGAAAGCCCAAGCTGTCACCGCCGGCGTACCCGGCGCTTTTCCCGTTCATGGTCACCCTCCTCAACCTCCTCCGGCTACCTTCAGCGCC